TTACCTTGTTCTCATGACCTCTCAGAGATCGATAAAGATTCCGACTCACCTTTTAACTCACAATTTCATCTGTTTACAAGTCCTAACGTACTCGGTAAATGTTCACATTATCGAGCAAAGTAACGGCAATGTATGGTATTAGTTCGATCTTGAAAGCAGTTTTTAGTTCATCCCTACCATTCGTGGAGAAGAACCCGGTAACCATGCCGTGAACACGTTGTCAATGCTCGGAAACCGCACAAAAACTGTACGGATCTTCGTTCAGGGGGTGAACGAGAGATTAAGGTAATCCCACCTAACCGATGACGGTCGTTCCAAAGGTTTCAACAGATTAATTGGTAGATCGATCGACACTTGCGATTCGTAGCACGAAAAAAAGTTCGGCAGCCACTCGTATTCACGCTCGCGGGATGTGTCGCTTTTGTGCTCTAATCTAAAACGGATTGGTTGAAAAACGATACGAGAAACGATGTCAGTTCTCCACACGATAGCGAAACACGCATACTTATCGATTTTCCGTGCAAGGTTTTCTTTGCAAACCTGGTTTGCAGATTGGTTCATCTCTATGGTAAAATAATGAAATTAAAAGCACACAGACGATTACCCGTGAAAATCGTGGAGCTTTGATGTTCGCTCGATATTGTAAGTTTTCGTTCGATGCTTATCGTGTTACATTTGCACAGCGAAGAGCGTACAATCGGTCCCCGTCCGTGTTTATATTTTATTTAAAGCAAATCTATTTCGCCGCGTTTCAATTTTCACGTTGTAGCACACAGATGCGTGTGTTTTATATAAATATCCTTTTTAACAGATTATTGATTGATGTACACCGGAGCTTCGTGTAAACAGCGCGATGGGTTTTTCCATTTGGTGTTTGTTTTTACATTTTTAATTTATTAACTTATACCGAGCGCAGAAACAAGGTGGCAGCCAGTGACAGACGAATGGTTCTTTTGCTATGCCACTATTTTTTTCCTAGCATCGCACGCATGTCCTAGATGAAATGTAGATCACGACGCTCCAGTTTCCATTCTTCATTTCCTGCGTTTTAAACGTTCACTTTGAAGTCTTGTATCTCAGAAACCGGCGCAGACATCAATTTCAAACGAAATACGTTTTCAACTGCATGCTTCTGTCTATTTCCTGAGCATCATTCACGCTGAATTTCGTTATTCCGCTGGTCGTAATTTCAATTTCAATCCAAATGTGCTGTACTATTAATTACGTGAGATTTCGCGCATCAGGCGTGTGCGATTGCATTTTTATTATACGCTTTAACTTTATCAATTGCGATAAATTCTTGGCAGTTCCGGAGGATCAAGTCCAATCTCGTTACTCTTTCGAGATACCTCTTATCACGAATCATCTCGTGGTTGCGGAGTTCCTACATGAAATAACGCTTCAAACGTGGTAGTAATAAACTGTAAATGTAGCTTCATGTAACGTCGAACGCTCTTTACACGCTTGTACAGCAGAGGGAGCCTGCTCTCTAGTTTCTCATCGCTCGAGTAAGCATTAACGTACGAGTTTCGGTGTTTTCTACGAGCACGCGGAGCTGAGGTTGAATACGTAGGAACTCTAGATACACGATTCCCAGGCAGCCTCAAAACGCCCGAAGTTATCTCCTTGCCTAAAGCAGAATTTGAATTTGTTTCATTCACGAGGTATGTTGCATCGCGAACGCAGCCACGGACAAAGCAGTCTGAGATTAACCGTAGAACACCAGGAATTCACTGAATGGAGGGCATTTCAATTGCACTTTCGCTTATTTATTCTTGTAAAGTCGGCAAGGGTATATCTAATTTAAATAGTAAAAGTGTAGCTGTAGTTTCCATATGTTTATCCATACTCTATATGGTATCATATCGATTCACCGAGCTCCATTTCCTTTCTGAATATAGCATTTATTCGACGTTGAAACAAAATTCCCAGTCAGTCCCAAAATGTCAGAAGTTGTTTCTCTCGCCTAGGGCGAAATTCGTTTCGTTCAGGTTGTACGTTGCATCACGAGCGTAGGCACGGACAAAGCAGTCTGAGATTAACCGTACAACGCGCGGGATTCGTTGAATGGAAAGTATTTCGATCGTGTTTCCATTTATCTCGCGTAACGTTTAACCTCTTAGTCTCGTCTGCGAGCATTTCTGCACGGTGGCCGTTTTTAATTCGGCGAAGTCTTTCGCTCGGCGTCGAAACGCGGATACAGGAATACAAATGTATGTTCCCTTTAAATTATTCAGCGAATAAAGCGAGCATTAATCCGCGGTGGGTGAGCCTCGCCAGCCGTGTGCACAGTTTAAGATGAAGGGAAAAGGGGATGCGCTCGTTTAACCTGAAATCGGCTTAATGTCTTTACACCGGTCCGCCACCCCCCCCCCACCCCCCACCCCCTCCTCCCACCACCGACTCAACTCATTCATCCCATTCGTTATCGTCCCAACTTTCATCCTCTCGTTTCGCATATTTTGCACGCATACAAGTTAAACTCTCCGCGAGGATTCAGCAGGGATTCCTCTGTTCATTTCCACGACCGAGCTGATTACACAAACTTTCGCGGCGACGTTCGTATCAGTATGTAAATAGCGTGGCGGCTATCACTGCGAAACCGTATGACTGAGATCATTACCATGAGCCCCCGTTTCCCCTCCGTCCATTCCCCAAGCGTCCTTTACAATCTACTCAAACACACGCGAGTATATCAGTTACCACCGTTCTTCAATTTGCATTTTGTTACAATCAGATTGGATGATTTCACGCTGAGTTACGACACCTAAAAGTTTCCTTTTTTATAGACAATTATAAATGACTGACAGACGCAGTGACCGTCAGCGTCCTTGCCAGGTCGATGCAATTCCGAGAAATAGTAGCGAGCATTGTAGTATTTCCTGACAGGAAACCCCCTTTAAAGTTCCCTAAAAGTGAAACGTTTATATCTGTTTTCTCTTTCGACCGATTTGGATGAAATTTGGTATATACAGGGATTTTTGGGGGTCGCTGATTTAAAATCTGAACTCAAAATTTACGATTGCAAAATCAATGTGCGATGAACCGACTACAGTATCACGTCACGTTCGGAAGTTTAGGGCGAATGGCGGGCGTGAACCGGTTGCGGAAAGTTCGAACGGTAAGTGTGGGTATACGCGGAAATAAATTTGGAACGGGGAACGCGTTGGTTTCGCGGGCGATATCGTGATAATGCAAACACCGATAAGCCGGAAATATATTGTTACCTTTTTCGTTTTACTTTTTTCTTTTTCTACGCTTCAGCGATATTTTTCGACCGTTGAGGTATTGAATATTGTCATCGACTTCTTTTGTGTACGCGGGAAACGCCGAACGAATTCGGTGATACGACCGTTTGTCAGAAACGGGCGGCTGAAACAAAAATCCGATTAGATGTTACGAGGGGTAGGAAGAATTTCGCTTCGGTATCGTTCACATTTGGCGATTTATTATCGTTATTTATCTCCCCCCTTGTTTTTTTTTTATTTGCGTTAAGTTTTATCCTTTTTATTATCATGTTACGTGCACGTGGGGAATTATAGTTTTATTATTTTTTGTTCGCATGTTAACAAATATATTGCTCGTATGAAAATATTGAAAAGTCAAAGAAGATTTGAAAACTGAATGCAAAGCAATGGTTGAAACGTGACTGGCACGAGTGATAAATCGACGTTTGATTCCGATAGACGCGTACGCGTATCTACGAATTCAAACCTTTTTTTTTTAATCGAAATTTACCGGGTCTTTGTATAGTCGTCGACTGCACGAGTGCGTGTGTGTGCTTTGGGAACGCTCGTACAATTTGTTCGCGTTAACTCTACGAACATGTACACGGCGTTAACGGTACGCTCGTCGAATCAACCGTAACAAGCGACCGCAACAGTTACCGTCGCAATGAATTTCCTGGCTTTACGAGTTCTATGAGTCTTAGACATCGCGGAGCACGTTTGCTTCGTATCTTCTTCGTTGCCACGAATTAATACAGAGGCTATAACGATTAGAATTTAAAGAGACTTAGCGGAGCAAAGAATGAATTTTTTTTATCTATTTCCCACTTAAATTGGTATGCTCGTTTTTCTAATAAAACAAATGGTACGGTGTCTTCGCGGTAAGTTTGAACGTGCTTCATCAAGGGGAGATTCACCGCCACGTGTTTACAAGGAAGAATCGATCGTCGACCCTATGTAAATAGTATTAGAAAACTAGTGCAATTTCTGCGGCGTAACGGCCTAACCCCTTGCGGCACGCTATCAAACGCCCTGTTAAATATTTAAGGGGATCTCAGGGTAAAGGAGTATCGATTATTCCCATTGGTTCGATGGTAACCCAAAAGAATTCGTAATTTGATTTTAGATTTCCCGCACCTTATCACTGAATACTCGGCCGAGTACTCGCACAGGGAATTCTATTTCCATCCTGTGCGGTTTACAATTGAGTCTATGTACATATTTGCGAAAGAATTATTTTGCTATGCTTTGAAACCTGGTATGAACAAGTATATAAATTCCTTTGGAAAACAAGATCGAGGTAATGTCTCTCGCGCCAGGTGGGGCCTGGAGGGATAAGAAAATGGTTTGGAACCAGGTATATAACGCGGAACGTTGGTGAAGCGTGTCGAAGATTTCTCGTCCACGGAAACTTTTCGCGATCCATTTTTCCGTTCTCCTTCGTCTTGTCGAAAATACTTGACAAAGGTGAGCCACTTAAAGCGAGAGCTCGAAGCTGAACGAAGAAGGCTTAAGGGTCACAGGCCCTCCTACTTAAACCCATATCGATTGCAGGAGACTTGAACATTGGCCTGCACACAACGGAAGGACACGAAATCGCAGAGGAAGCGTATCGCGGGCCAAGAAGTTTGTTATATGTTATTCGACCAATAACGATATTTTCACGATATTTCTCCGATTTCATTTATCAATAATCGTATCGATATCAACCCTCTATTGCATGAATACGAAGAACGAACGTTGCTTCATCCTATTTATTTCTGCCTGTTACAGATAAGTACAATGAACATCTGAAACAACGACGTTACAAATTAATTGTCACCATGAGAGCGCTCCTGATCCTGGCAAGCATTCTCCTGAAAATACACCTTCATTTCAGAGGTGAGTACCGCCATTTGTCATCTTCTCCTTAAGCATAAGAAACATGGTACTCAGAATTAGCGTTGAATAACGGTCACGGGCGTAAATGTATTACAAACCAATCTAGTGTAACCGTGTAAATCGTTCGTATATTAACGTTACATGACTGTATACATTTTGTACAGTATCTGCATTCGTTCCTCGTGTTCTAAAACAACATAAGTGCATAAAATCCGCAGTCAGGATAATTGAATTCCCGAAGGACAATCAACGTTTCGTTAGTTAATGTTGCGAGAAATTAAAGCCACGTCTCGCTGTAATCACGGTCGACTGAATAGCAAGTGGGAAGTTCGAATGTGTGCTTACACGACGGGAAAGCTCTTCCGCGTTCGCGTTTCAGCCAGTCATTTTCGTGCTGACACAGAAAACACTTAATTCACTGTGCCAGTTGATAGCTGACAAGTAATATCCGGTTATCGTGTTCTTGAAGACCGCACAAACTTTTGGCTCGTTAGCACCGACAGAAACTTTCCGACGGCCATAAACCATTCGTTCCCGCGGAGCCGCTAGCCCGGCGAGAATTTATTCGTCGCATCGATTCCGTTCGCGAATGGCAAATTTCATTCGCGATTGGGAAATTTCTTCGACGCGAATTATCCCACGTTTGATATATTTTTAATACCCTCTTTGAAATCGCCGCCGAAACGGTGATCTACATACGCGTAAAGCACTTTCGGGAACGCGTTTCCAATTGAAAGTTTAATTAAACGCACGATACCTTTAGCGGGTCGGACATTTTACGATCTCCAATTGCCTGGAATTAATTTTAAGCAATTTCGCTTATCGTGGAACGATTCAATTTTGAGAGTCGTCCCGTGATTCGCAAGCGTTACTCGAGGATTTTATACTCACTTGGGCGTTTCTGTCGCGACGCTTCTGGAACGAGCTGGGGCGCGTTTCTGTCCTCATTGCGCATTCGTATTCTCTTTGATAAGGAGCTGCGAAGGATTCAAATTTATTTCAGCACGATAAATTCACCAGCTTCAGTGTTTCTGTCGTTCCTTGCGTAACCCTTTGTTCCTAAGGACCAGTGCTATTTAACTCTTTAAGAACGGGTATTTTAAACGAGCCTCGTCGTGCACATAAATTGTTTATGTAAATTGTAATCAGAACTGAGGTTTTTTATTTAACGAATTATGCAAACAATAGCCTCCTTTATTATTGAAATATATTGAACCTGGGCTGAAATAACAGCATACACTGTGTTTTATGAATTTTAAATGTATTTTGTATTTCACATGCAATATAATACAATTTTAATCAAATAAACCGAGGCACTGATGGGTGTAGAAGTTATGACTGGTTTCACATTTGATACTCCTGAAAATGTAAAGCAATCATTCATTTATCGTATTCGAAAATGTATGGAAATTAATGTAATAATTTCGAAATTCAACAAAGGAAACGTGCTCGTGTGAGAATAAACGGGAACCGATCAATTCACTAGTTATTGAAAGCAGTTGATTAATGACGTTTCGACGCGCATTTAATCGTTTCCAATATCTACGAAAATAAAGCAGTATTAATGGAAAGTTACGCTAAATATTGTTCTAAAAATAATATAATAGACTTGTGGTGACAAAATCATTGTATCGCAAGTACCTTTACACTTTACACTTTTTATATCTAAACCAATACCAATACTCTAACCAATACCATGACCAAAATCGAAATGTTAATTAAAGAGATATTTTCATGGATTTAAGACTCGTAAAAGTGAACGATACGAGTGTACGATATTGCGATACGTTATCATCGACGAATTCGAGGCTAGCCGTCGTAAACTTAGTTTTGTGTTCCTGAAACGCGTAGATTTTTCGACGCGTTATCGGGATATATAAACAACGAGCAATTATTGACTCGTGTCCGCATATAATTGTATTTTATTGTAACGTTAAATCCTGTTACACATTCATGCCAGTAATTGTTAATTGGTCCCATTTAAATTGTCTAATTTTAGCATCGCTTTGCAAGTTTAAAGGGAGTCGAACCAGTCGGTTCGTTTTATTAAAAAGGTTTGCGCGTGTTTCTCTGCAATTAATAATTTTGTGTAATTTTATACCATGGTTACACGTACATGCCAGGTCATAAACAGAATAATGACCCGTCTTTGAATCTCCTGTCGCGCGTTTGTACAGTTTCTACGTTCAGAATGGAAAATATATATTTTTGTCAAAATTTGTTAAATCAATTAAGAGAAATTTATTTAAATTTTTCTCTTCTGTATGTTGTTTTACTGATCTAACGAAACTTAAACAACAGATGAAAATACCACAATTTAAATATTTACCCGATACTAAATTTAAAAAAAATTCATATTTACTCAACTTTATTTTATGCTTTACGATGAAAGAGTGCAATGCCAATGTTTGAGTTCGCATAGAATACTAAATTTAGCAATTTCGTGGCAAAAAGAGTTGGAAAGGTTTCGTTACATCTCTCGGCGTCGAAGAGTTAATATGTGTATATGAAATATTCGTTTTCCAGAATGATTTTAATGGGAAATATCGAAAGAGACAAACGCCAACGTAAAAACAAATGAAAAATCATCGTACCCATCGTCGTTTATAACAATAGAATTATTTTATACTTACGTTTCAATTAATTTAATTTCTTTAATATTGTAAAAGCTGAGTGATACACTAGGATGCTTCGAGAAGTGAACATTTTTTCGATTCTAGCGAGGGTTTACGCGGTCCTCCAAATATTTTTTAAAGCTCTCTAAAAGTCGATATCAGCGATAACTTTTGGTTTCACGGTGCGGTTTCGGGGCAGCTAGGAAAGCGTTGGCAGTAAGTTTATCGAGCAGCGAGAATTGTCCGTTCGCACGTGCGGCTACAAAGTACGTCGCAGCGTCCGCACATGGCAGTATCTCGTCGCTATCGTTATGTACCTCGTAAAAAGACGATAATGCCGGACGAGAAGGTGCTTCCACCGGTCGAGAGAGCCCGTAACGTGACAGGACACGTCGAGGCTCGCGTAAAATACCTGGGTGTTAAGTATAATCGATCGAGGCCGCGTGGTGGGAAACGACTTTGACATTATAAAAATTATTCAGAAGATTGCACGCCGAGGTGTCGTGTACAAGGGGAAATAAAAGAATGCAAAAGTGAGATGGAAACAGGGTTCATTGCATCATAATAGTCACGAATCGCTAAATATATCATAGAACTATCACATTCACCATTGCTGCTCGATACACTAAATTTACTGAATTCAGCTTGTCAGTAGTAATAATTCCTCGAAGGAGAAATTAAAAGTGCCCTGCGTAGGAACGAGGTGGGAGTGTACAAAGAGAAGATCGATAAGGAACGCGTGCAAACCGAGTCGGAGACGTTTGCTAGTGTACTTTTCAATTACCAACGCGCCCGGCGGGCAAAGTCGAAGAAAATTATACGGTCAAACGTGCGCTGGCGGTGCCAATAAAAACCCAATAAATCGCGGGTGCTTCCGGGCAAGCAGGCGAATTTAGGCCGAACTGTCGGAAGAAAGAATGAAACCAGCCAGTCACCGTTCGAAGAAAATGGTTGGCTCGAGCCTCTGGCTCGATCTACGATCGCGTGCACATGCGCCGTTTCCGCGTGCTCGTGTTCGCGTGCGATTCCAGGCCTGCCACGTGACGAGATCTCTCCTTGAGCATTTCGGTCCCCGAGAGCAGGACGATCCGCGGGCTCGGGGAAGCAGGTCAGGTTTAACGAACCGTCGAACGAGCCCCGAGCAGGGTAACGAGAGCTAATTGCCGACGTTTTCATCGTGAACACGGCTCAAGTACGCGGGATAAATAGAGGCTCGTTATAGCTTACGCGACGCCTAGGCTCGAGTATGCATCCGCGGGAATTTTATTACGTAGCGAGCGAACTTCGCACGGGGAGCAACTTATTGCATTTTAATGTCATCGAGATTGACTGGCCGGGATCCTCCGTGTTTTGAAAAGTGTAACGTTCTGGGATCGATGATACGCAAAGGGTTCTTCAAATATTTGCTTACTGCAAGGGTCGCGGAGACTTCAAATCATATTTTTCTCGAAGCAGTCTACGCTCTTTAATCGCTTATAAATTCACTTGTTTTCGAACACTAATAGCGCACAACGAGCAAATTAACGCCTAGGAACATTTTCCAGTCGACTGAAATTGCAAAACCTTTCATGCCTCGAAACAAGGATAAATGAACTTAGCACGCGTTCAGAGTGGACGGCTTAATTGGTGGATTGTAGTCGACTTCACGGACGTTAAGAATCGCTGGTTTACTAAAAAGTAGTAAAGTCAACAGCTTAAGTCCAAATGCAGCTGAATACATTCTAACGTTAAAATGATAAAAAATGAAGACAATGCGACGTCTTCAACCTCTCTTAACCCAATTTAAAGACCGTTATGTAAGAACGGATGTCGTCGATCATTTTCAGTACCTCTCCGTAACATCCAATCGAATGCCGTTCCACGGAACCGATCCCGGCTCGCATTTCCAGGGAAAAATATGCGCATATCACGTAACCGCAAGTACAACCGATATAACGTCGGCGAGCAATCGACGCTGCGAATGATACCTGGAAAACGCTTGGGATGTTTAAGTGTTTTCGAAGTGAATTCCCACGGAGCCCCAGTAGATTTGTAACGGGCTAGCTGCTGCAAACGCGGGCCAAAGCCGCGTAATTGTCCTGACTAAGTTATTCATTTAAGCCACTTACGGCTACACCCGGGTTATGCGTTATAGTTGGAACGGGGGTTGCATTAATCTCGTGGTAGGAGAGAATTCCTCTCTCCGACCCACTGTTTTCGGCCTCCGACGCTATCGTGGCCCCTCGCCCCGTCAGGTACCACGAAAATCGTTCTTAATCTTCGATCGTAGTTTCGCTCAGACCTTAAAGCCGCCAGCTTTCGTGGCTTCGAAGCCTGCTATTACCGCCTAAAGCTCGTACGATTGCAGATGAATATTTTAATGCATCAATACGACAACGCGATATTAATATTTGCATCTGTATCTCGTATACTCGTACGTCATAGATGCATAAAATTTCACAGTCTGGTTATAATAAATTTAACGCTCGGGAGGGCCATGAGTGATGATGGATGTTTTTTTTTTTTTTTTTTTAATTTTGAGCAGACGTGCAATCCCCACGAGCAATATTAATAGCAAATTTTCGAAAGTCACGCAGCGAGAGACTGCATTAAGATCACTGTTTCATACTCGCTAATAAACACGGACTCGTAGTCGTAGCTCGGTAACCATGATACTTGTTCCACTATAGTCGTTAATCTTCAAGTTGACGAAACATCTAACGAGATCATAGAGGTATCATCTATGCTTTGCATACATGCTTTTGAATTTTCTTTTCCAGGAAGCCAGGCGGAGCATCAGCGATCATTAGGCGCCAGTAACGAGTTGTTGCCGTCAACGGGTTCCGAAGATAAAATTGAAGATGTCATCGAGGGTCCTATCAAGGAAGTCCTCGCCCAAAGCGGAAGTACAGCCAATTTACCATGCAAAATCACCGATCCTGTCGCTGGAACCGTAAGTGTTCTTCGCATCAGTGTTTCCATTCCTTTTCTGAACCTTGTCTTCCTTCTGAACTTTATATATATATAAAAAAAAAAAAAATAACAATTAATTCCTGGCTGGCCGTAAAATAAAGTTTTTACGAGTAACGTAACATTTATAAACTGGGGAAATAAGAGTTTAGGGTGGTGGCTCACGTGGTACGAGCTCGCTCGCGAACGATTCGGCTGGAAAATGCATTTTTAAGATACACCGCTTGTTTGGGGCGCGACGCGGCAACTGGTGTATCGTTTGAAATTAGTTTTCGCGCAGATATGCGAGACCGCTGGCGTTTATACATTCACAAATTATTTTTTTCGCCCGCGAAAACACGTTCGCGAGTCGCGTTGCTTTTTCTATCCCGGGGATTATTTTGACGGCAGAATCGATTCCTGAATACTTTGCGGAGCTCTATACGATGGGAAAAAATAAAATCGAGTCGAGGAAAATGAAAATAACGGCAAGCCCAGGTATCGAGGCTGCTATACGGTTTCAACGAAATCCAAAGAGCGATGGAAATAATGCAACGCGCGATTCGAATGTAATAACATAACCAATAATACCATCAAGTTGGAAAATCGACAAGCGAAAACTACATTTTTTTCGCAGAAATCGAGGTGATAGTGAATCCCGAGGCTCTTCCGTATGCGTTCCGCTATTCGCTGTTTTCATCAGCGCGTCGCTCCGCCCTCTTTTTCCTATACCGAGCGAACGACAAAACTCGATCATCTTAATTTTCTCTGCTTCTACTGGTCTAATAAAAGCTTTTTTTTTTTGGACCCAACTGCAGCAACTTTTTTCATCAAAATATCAAAATACAATTATATAATTAATATAATTTGGTTGGGTTCTATTCGGCGTCTAGTTTTCGGTAACTTATTTTTACATTCGTCATCTCTAATTAAAAAGTTTACTAATTTCATATTAATACAGCAGTATCTAGAAATTAATTACGACGAATATACCTGAATGAGCCACTTATCGTTAAACTAAATATAATTAATTTTAGTCGGTGCAGTGGTAGCAGGAAATACTTGAGTCGATCAGGTAACGTCGTTCACCCGGTATGTATCGGTATTTCATATGCCATCGCGTTTCTCTCCCCCCTATTCGCGACCGTTCAATTTTCATTTCCCGTCAGAGCAGCGAGACGAGCGATTTTCATTTAATTTCCGTTTGCCAGACGGCACACACGAGTCAGCGGAGAGAAAGGGGTTTCATGGTTAGATGACACCATTGTCCCTCGAATCTTAAAAAGTTGAGGAAACCTCGACGTATTTAACGATCGCTCGAAACGAACGCAAGCCACGGAAATGCGCGTGAAGTGTTCGTCGAGGATACTTCGGCCTCTAGTTTTCGGTGTTAAAGTTCCTTTATTCGTTAAGAAAACGCTGGTCGTAATTCTGGACAAGTGTTCCTTCCGTCTTGGCAGTTAGAAAGTTTGCGGAGCACGTAACACTGCTTGCCCGAAAGCGTTCTAAAAAAAGAACCGGGTAAAAATAAAACGCGTGCAACCGCTTGCTTTTCCAAAACGAACTGTTCCCGTGGAACAAACTTGGGAAAAACAAACATCAAAGGGGAGCACCAGCCAAAGCAAAGTTTCGTCTGGTGTTGTTCGATAGATTGCCGTAATACACACGCTGGGGTACCTCTAAGTTGATTGCCTTTGAAACTTTCAATCTATTCTCGAAATTGCTCCTTTCGCGTTATAAATTCAATTTTCGCGAGAGCCTGGTGCTGTCGCGATCGAGTCACAACCAAACGGGCGACGAATTCCAATTAATTGGAATGCCCGCTTAATACATCGACGAGAAGCAGACGAATGTGAAAAAATGCAAGAGTAAATTTTTCGATGAGAATGAAATTCACGTAAGGAATTAATTGAAATACAGAACAGCATTCTTCTGAAATTGCAGAAGTTTCACTGGTATGTGCGCATTCTAAAACACCCCTAGAATATATCGATACAAGAGTATCAATTTCGAACGTAAACGCCGCCATGGTACCAGACCGTGTCTGTTAACGCTGGTAGCAAACTATGACCAGCTGGCTTAATTATTCTCTATTCGACGGAAACTTTAGACACTGCCTAGAAATAGAAATAACCGACGACGTCCGCGGTAGTCCTACGCAATTCGCCCAAGATGAATGAATGCAGGGAGGATTTGGCTTCGCGGCCACGGTAGCTGCTGAACATTTGGCGCATGTTAATATTATACTGGCGAATTGTGAAAAATGTCGCGGTTCGCGGCGCGGTGTATTTCACTGCGGAACTTGTTCGTTTCGGGCGGTCGTATGGGTGCACATGGTGCTAGGGAACGGGTGCATGTGCGACCCGTTATTCGATGTCACGCGGAGAGACGCTGCGGGCGAATCGCACACGTTTCCAAATTTTCCACGGACAGAGCGAAATTTCGCAGCCAGATAATGCACTGTCGTTCCAAATTCTGGTATCCTTTAACTTCCTTAGACGAGAGTCTTCTTTGAATTACTTTAATGATTAGTTGAACACGTTCACTGTCACATGCAGTGTTGGATGACGCTAATATCATGAACGGTTAGTAAAGTGGAGCTTGTCGAGGATTTACTTTCCATAAATTAGAAGACTACTGTGTACTATTCTTATCGAATTAAATAAATGGAATTTGAAGAAACGGTTATCCTGAATGGAGGTCCTTCGAGGTCCTTTACCGCACAAACTGCAGCTCTTAGTCGTCGAATTTTTCGCTGGTAGCGTAACGCTATTAAGTTTAATTATCACCAGGGCTGAATTTCTGCAAGCGGGAGCTTGAGACTGTGGAAGCATTATTGCCACCTCGATAACAAATAGCTCGGCCACAGCTCTCGCTAATTTTCCTCCTACCCTCCTGAACTTTTAGACAAATCGTCCACACCTTTCTCTTGGCCTCGCGCTATCCTTTCTATCTCGTTCTTTCTCGGGTCCTTATATTTCTCCTTCAGCGGAACGTTTGCGAAATTCTTGCGATCCATGAAACACGGTCGTGCGTTTTGGAATGCTGAAAAAGTATTCGGTGCTTTTCTCGAGTCCTTTGCAGACAGATCTGTCCAGGTGATGAATAGATAATATATATTTTGGTACTTTTGTTCTTGAAAAGTTGAGTCCTAACAACATTATTTTTTTACGTGTTTATGCTGTAGCAAATGTCTCCGTAACAGGCTGACAATAATCGACCATGGTATTTTAGATTGCTTTAAATTTTGATTCTCGCATTGTCTACCAAGTAGCGGCTCGACTTCATTTTTCTTCACGTTCTGTCTCGGCGGTTTCTCTCGTCTTTTCGGTCTCGTATCCGCGACACGGTAGAATATTTCAGAATATTTTACGGGGTTTCGGCGTTAAACCGATATCATAGCAGGTGCTCTGTTCAAGTTTCCCAAAGAGAGGAAAAAAAAACGGGTCGAAGAAAAGGAATGACAGAAAATCCGGGTTGTGTATACAGAGCGTCGGGAAGCTGGGCCGTCTCGTTCGATACCGGTGGCGTCGAAAGCCAGATGTCGGAATCGAATTCCGCTCGGCATCGCAACCGACGAACGATTTCTTTATAGAACGGATCAGGTCGAAAGGATTTTCGAGGAATTTTCATTTCCCGGATATATATGTATTGGGATGGAATACTTGATATGCTTTTCGTAGGAGGGGGAGGGGGGGGATACATTCTTGTCGGATGGGGCTGGTAATTCTTTGGTCAAACGGTTTTATGCTCCAACGTTTCTCCGTTTCCAAAGCTTTAAGTCTTCCCGGTAACGGAAGCTCAGCAGCGCATGTTTTCCCTTGGCGAGAACAATTCCACCAGAGATGGATAAGCTTCTCATCCGGATACTATCTTTAAAAAGAACGGAAGGTAATCGGTTCTTTATTCATTGCTCGTTAAATAAGAGTTGGAATTTCACAGTGAATAGAGTATTAATAGACGTAAATTTTCAATGCCCTAAGAATCCGCGGTAAGAAAATTAATCTTAGACTACGTTTCATGGTATTGAAGTTCGTTCATTGTAGGATAAGCATGATGTCGAGTCGAATGGTACGAGTTAACAATAGCCAATCGTGAAAGTTACGAATAGAGTTCTTCGTCATTAGCGGGTAATTTAAGAGCGACGATTATTCACTTAACCGATGAACATTCAGGTGCCCGTTGCGCTCGAAATACTATTCCTGTCCGTCACTGACACATTCCACTTGAGAAAAACTTTGATTCACAGCGGCTTACAGTTACGTATGGACAGGATTAATTACGATCGTGCTATAAGCTTCTTACTTCAGACTGTCAATGTTGAACAATTTACGAATCTTGATGTGTACTTTTCGTTCATTACTCTTTCAGTTCGTAAATTTAAAATGTAAGCTTTCTTTTTGACCATGTTATCTACGTTACATAATTTGTTATGTTATTATAATATTCATTTGCTTCTTCCGAGAAGGATGTAATTTTAATTTAAGTCCTTTCTACCAAAGATCAAGGAATCCTTCTACGGCTTCTCTTCTTTGCCGAAGGATTTCCAAGTACTCGAACCCAAAAGAAACCAGCGAATATTTTTGTTGCACGGATGCTTCCCGCTACCGTTCAAAGACGCAAAGTTCGGAATACGTATCGGAAAGCATGTTATTTATGAGAATTTCCGAGAAAATCTACTTACTGTCTATGAATTCTTTACTTCACCAGAGTCCCGCGAGGGTGGAAAAACCCGAGTAACATAATCTGCTTACGAACAGCATGCACCTTCTTTCTCGATCTGTATCGACGAAACTTTTTCGCGAAATCGTGCGAGGGACGAAAGCCAATTAGAAGAATGCTGTTTTGAGTACCGTGCGATGCGGTGCGCTCTCCATTCTCCTCCGATTCTTTCGTTTCTCTTGATCCGCTTTCGAGCACTTTGTTTGCACGGTGCAACCTCCTACAGACGGTGTCTACGTCTGAAAACGAGGCAAACATCCCAATTATTGACACGATTCTCGA